GGGGAGGGATTATACCTGCCCTTAAACCAGGCTGATCACTCTGAATCCTGTTTTGTGGGCTCTGTGACATGGGGTAGGTAGGGCCCTGAGATATCCTGCTCCTCCAGGGCAACCGTCATGGAGTTCTCAGGTCCACAGGCCTCCCATCTACCAGGATGCTTAGGCACACTGCTGAAGCAGATTAACAGTCATCTCCGCCTCATACATGTTCACAACTAACAGGGTTCTCTCTGCCCTGACCTATGGGAGCCCAGCTGTGATGGGACCCGGCCTCTGGGTGCACCTGGGGACTGTCACAGTGGGAGGAGACACCAGGAAGGCCAGGAGGGAGTGCCAGGGTACCCTGCATCTTCCCAGGGCCATGCTCCCTGTAATTCTGTCCCTGCCACTTGGCCTTGCCCCAGATCTCACCCAATCCCTCTGTCCCAGGAAGTTGCAAGGAGTCTTCCCGTTTGCACTGACACACCTCCGTCTGACTTCTGTTTCTTTCCTCCCTTTCTGGACATAAACGTGAGAGCCTGCTCAATTCCCCTCCTGTCTACACATCTCCCAGCCTTCAAGCTCTTCCTTCTCTTCCTTCCCACCCAAACCTGCACACACTTGCTTATCTCCTCTCCCTTCTCCCCTCCCTGTGACCTTACTGGACACCGCCTGCCTCTTCCTCACCCCTAAGTCCATGAGCCTTGTCCCCACACCCTCCTATTCCCCACCAAGCAACCACCAGTCCAAGGACCAGAGCACCCAGTTCCGAGGCCAGCTGTAGTACGGAGGAGGGGACCAATAACAAATGCCTGGGCGCCCATCCTTCCAGAAACCACATCATCTGTTAAAAACCTTACTTGCTAGTCTCCCCATCCCCTGTGTAAAAGAAACTGCAATTGGTGACTGGGAATTGGTCTCAACATGGTTCAGAAAGTATAACAAAATTCCAGATAAAATAAACAGCCAAGGCCACAAATACAAGTGACCCTCTGACCGTCTCTCCTTCCATCAGCGAGTTGTTTACCGAGACCACCTGAGTTTCTCATCTCAGGCTTCATTGTCCCTTATCACCAATTCTTTTCTTCCAACTCTGCGGTCCAAAGTGGTCTTTATTCTACCGTCTCTCCCATGCCTCTGCTCCTCAATACTTAAAATGTAGTAGCTTCACATTTAAAAAAATAATACTCAATATAGATGTGTGAACCCCCCAGGAAGCCTCTGTCACATCCCAAAACGTTAACAGCAGCGGTCAGGAGAAGGTCTGCTTTAAAATATGTCCAGCCTGTACATCACTTCCCGCCACGCACAGCAGCTATTAAACAGTAACTAGCATTTTGGACCCTTTCTCCTGGCAGGAGTGGTGCAGCAGAGGCAGGAGCAGCAATGCAGACAGCTGTGCAGAGAGGACTTCAGCCTGCCAAATTACATTTTCCAAAATACCCCAATGGGTGGTGGCTGCCAGGCCTCGGGCGTCTCAACATTTAAACTGCAACTGCTCCCTAAGATAGAGGAGCTGCGCTCCCGCGCAGAGATGCAAGGAGGGGAGCGCAGAGGAACCGGCTGGCTGCGTGGAGAGGCTGCGACGGGTCTCAGCTGCCTCTCCTGCCTCCTGCTGCGGGCGGCCGAGGGTCCCTGCGAGGAATGACGGGCCACCTCCGCAGCCCGGGGAGTGGACTCAGAGCTGGCTGGCGGCATCCTTGGGGAAGGTGTAGCTCAGTGGCGCCTCGTAGAGGCTCCCCCCGTCGGTGCTGAGGTCGTCATCGTCATCCATGTCATCCAGCACTTTACTGGGCGGCTTCTTCAGTCTGCTGAGAAAACATGGTCATGATTCCTGGCCCTGCACTGGGGCTCACCCCTCATCTGGAGACAAGGAAGGGGCTTGGGTTCCTGCCTCTCCACCCCACTGAGCGCCAGGGAAGCATGTGAACTTAACCTGGTCTGCACCCGCCGGCGCCCTGAACAACAGGAGCAAAAGCCCGCCTCTCTGGGAGCCCATGCTGGCAGGATGGGCTGGGCAGGGCAGGGCAGGGACAAGGTCAGTAGTACTGATTTTTCCTTCTGCCTCAAGCTCCAATATGGCTCATCTGGGTGCTGTTATTGATCCCATCTTAATTTAAATGTTTGATATCTTGTCCACTGGGGATTTTTTTTTTTTTTGGCGTTATTTTTTAAATATTGCGTGTAATATTATCTATCTTGATTACTAAGAGTTTTGGTGCCCCCTTAAATGTTGCACCCTAATGCCGGCCCTGGGGGGTTGTCAGGGGGCTAGAGTCTTCTGTCCACTTATAAGATAACTACCTGTGCCATCAGCATAGTCAGCTTCTAGGAAAGGCTCACCTCCATGGAAGAGCATGAACCTAACCCACCGGCTCACCCCAATGCCCAAGGCAGTGACCCTAGGGCAGGGATAGCGACCCCCACCCAAACCCCTTAAGCCTACGGCAGTGGAGCTATAGAAGCAACCCAGGATATCCTAGTCCTCATGAAGATACGAACCAAAAATTTATCTGTTTCTCCTGAAGTCACGTAAAAGTAGCAGTGCTAAGGGCTGATGGAGGAGCTGCCCCCTCCATGGTGGCGGGAGCTAGTTTTACCTGCTCTGAGCCTCAGTTTCCCCTTATGGACAACAGGGATAATACCTGCCTGGCTGACATCGGGGCACTGGTGTGAGGATGACACATGTGAGGCCCTACTGAGCACGTGGGTGACTGAAGTGCACATAGTCACTCTCTGTAGGATGGGATGACCCCCAAAAGGCGACAACAAAAAATTGTCTTCAAGCAACAGAAGTGAGGGTGTCCTACAAGCATCAAGCTCTCCTCAAATGCAGGGGGTGACGGCCCCTGTGGGGTCACTGCACTTGCCCACCTTAAGTTCTTCTTCAAGGAGTTGAGCTGTCCCTGCAGCTGCTCATTCACGTCCATCTGCTCCTCCAGCTCCCTCTGCAGTTTCTTTTTAGAGCTCTCCAGTCTGTCGATTTCCTCCTCGGCCTCCTCTACCTGTCGCTTCATTGCTTTCAAGCGCAAGCTCAGCTGTGTTGGGAGAGAGGACAGGTGAGTGCTGGCTGCTCACCAGCCCAACTGGGATGGAGAAGCCCCGGCACGGACAGGCCAGCAGTCCAGCCCCCTTTCCAGGCAACCACAACATGCCCAAAGGGCGGCAACCAGTCTCATGGGAAAGTGGAGATAAGCCTCTGTGACAGACAAGTCTGCTTTTTACAAGTCAAGTTCAGGGTTGGAAGTTTGCTAAATTCCTCGTTAAACAGCCTAGAGAGGCTCCAGTCTACGCTGTAACTGGGTGGAGTGGAAAGACAGGGATTAGTCCACACAGTCCCATCACCCGCCCACGGAGGCCAGGCCAACCTCTTGCTTCCCAGCCTGGGACAGAGTCTCATTGGAAATGAAGTTGCGGAGGGTCCCTCACCTGGTCCTTCTGATCAGTCAGCGACAGGTGTTCATCGTCCACCTGCATCAGGAGCTCCTTTACCTTCCGCTCCAGTCGTCGGTTGCTGAGCTGGAGGCTGGTCCGGTCCCTGCAAGAGTGGAGGAAGCAAAACTGAGGGCTCTCTAATCCCAGCCCCACAGGAGGCCTGGCCCAGGCTGTGGAGGAGGGCAAGCCCCAGCCAGAGCTGCCCGGTCCCCTCAAGGTTGAAGGTCAGGGAGACATGTGACTACAGGATGAAAGGGCTGGTCATCGGACAGATGAGGAAATGGGCTCCATGAAGGGGGGTGACTTGCCCTGGGTTGCAGAGCCACTGAGGGGCTGAGCTGGGACCAGACCTGCCCTGAGTTCTTCCTGTCCTGAACTTTACTTTGTAAGACAGAAGGTCACTGCCAGACCCTGCCCCAGGCTGCCTCCAAAACTCCTACCGATAGCAGATTATGTGAAATATCACACCCACAAGTATGCACACACACACCCCTCCCAGAAGGACAGGGGCCACAACTAAGAACTGAGGCTGGTCAGGTTCAACCTGGTGCTGGTCCTGGGGATGCAACTGGAGAGTTAGCTGCAAAGAATGGTGTGTGGTCACCTGATCCCATGTTCTTCCCACCCACTGTGGGGCGACCTGCCCATCTTCGACAGATGGCCACTCGGCCTCTGCTAAGCAAAGCAAATACGCTCGGCCCTCGGGGCAGTCAGCCCCCTTGCCTGTAATCTGGCTCAAACGTGTAGTTTGTGAGGCACCCTGTGCTACTGAGGGGCTGGGGAAAGCAGCAGCAAGAACAATGAAAATGCTATGGACTAAGAGCAGGAGTCCTGAGTTTTAGTCCAGCTACACCAATATTCAGCCAGGCTACCTTCCTCAAGCACTTACTTGGATGGGTCTCAGTTTTCTCATCTGTCAAATGGAAATAAAAATAACAGCAAAGCTGTACTTGCTCTGCCTTCCTCACGTGAAGGCCTCTGAGGATGGAAAGGTACAAATGTAAGAGCACCCTGCAATGTGACGGTCACTGCCTACCAGGTCTCCACACCACAGCCAGGCAGCTCACCTCTCCTCGCTCTCTAGACGGTCCTCCAGCTCTGCGATCCTGGCCTCCATCTGCACCACCAGCCCCTCTTTGTTGGACCGGTAGGAACCTTCCAGGTGGATAATCCGGCTCTTTAAGTCCTTGTTCTGGAATCAGACAGGGGCACTGTGAGGGGGCTATGTGTCCAACTCACTCTCTGCAGAGCAGGTTACAGGGGAGCCAGCAGTCAGTCAGTGACTGCGATGAGCCTGCTTCCCACACCAGAGGGGTGGCCTCGGGGACCTGGGGGAGCCAAGGATATTTCCAGGGGAAGGCCTTGCACCCCAGTCCTGACAGGCCAGGAGAGATTCTGTCACATTCCTTATAAGCCTGAGTAAAATCTTTGCCATGGCCTAGGACTCTTGGATGTCAGACAAATGACCTTGACCTTTCATGAAACTATTTTCAGGAGAAATATGTTCCTTCCCCAATATCACATATCATATTCAGTGAATTTACGTGAACAGCATGTAAAAGAAACAATAAGTAAGCTTTGTTAGCAACTCATGTTTGATAACCCTGGTTCATTATTCCCTTTACACTGGATTTAGCCTGTTTTAGGGTTTAGAAAACACTTGCAATTCCACCTCCCCCCACCTGTAAACTTCCAAGCATATTTAATATTACTGAGAAAATCCTCTCTGGAAATGGTCTTAGAAATACCTCTCGTGGGCGAGGTACGCCCCAGAGTTCTTCGGCCGCTGAGCAAAGAAGGTGCCACTGGGGGGCGCCCATCCAAAGCCTCGGGGAGGGAGAGTGGGAAGGGCTCCTGGGGCCAGCGCCCTCACCTGTCTCTCCAAGGAAATCTTGTCACACTCCAAGTCTTGCCTCACAGCTCTCTCCTGAAGCAGCTCGCTCCTCATCTGTTCCATCTACACCAAACAGAGCAGAAGCCCAGGGTTAGCGGGGTTGTTCCCAGAGCATTTGTGCTGAAATGGCTCAGACACGGAATTCCAGCAGGCCAGCTCCTCTTCGTGACAGGCCGCCTGCCATTTCTCTCCTTGGTGCAGGAGCTGTTTCTTAGATATTCTTAGTTTCTGGATGATTGCGAAGACAATGATACGAATAGCATAACAGTCACAACTAACCCTGCTGTTGTGAGTGGAATTGTGTCCCCCCAAAAGATACACTGTA